CCCATTCCTCGATACATGGGCGCCTCCCAGGGCCGGGAGGCGCTGGGAAAATCAGCTACGTGAGCTGATTATCTACCTATCCTTCGCTATCCCCCCTTTTAGTTCGTTCCCCCCGAGAGGGCCCGCGGCGCGACATCGGGGGGAAGGGCAGCGTGGCCGCGTCCATGCCGCGCCCAGGGCGCAGCTTCGTCTCGGCCGGGCTGCCGCGGAGGTCTGCCTGCGCGCACGCAGCGACGAGCCCAGACCCCCGCAGGTCATGAGCAAAATCCTGGCGGGCAGTTTTTCGCTATGTTCGGCCTCTGGAGGCCCCCCACGTCGCATTTTTTTCGCAACGTCGACCCCCATGCAGTTGTCTGGACCCCTTCCCCGGTACCGGTTTTTCATCCTGATTGCGAGTCGTTTTTTGACCGGGGCCCGGGAAGGGCCCCCCCCCCGGAGGCTGAAAATGGCCAAAAGCCTCCCGTAGTGTTTTTTCCACAGCGCGAGGGGGTCTGGGTGGCCGCGTCCGTGCTGCGCCCTGGGCACAGCTCCGTCTTGGCCGGGCTGCCGCGGAGGCCTGCCTGCGCGCACGCAGCGACGATGGCGGGCAGTTTTTCGCTATGTTCGGTCTCTGGAGGCCTTTGCCAGGCTTCGGGACCGTCAAACAACGACTCGGGACGAAAAACGCGTCCAGGGGTGGGGGTCCACACCTCAGGAGCAAGAGGAGGAGGAGGAGGAGGAGGAGGAGGAGGAAAGGAGGAGGAGGAGGAGGAGGAGGAGAAGGAGGAGGAGGAGGAGGAGGAGGAGGAGGAGGAGGAGGCGGAGGAGGAGAGCAGGAGGAGGAGGAGGAGGAGAGGAGGAGGAGGAGGAGGAGGAGGAGGAGGAGGAGGAGGAGCAGCAGCATGAGCAGGAGGAGGAGGCGGAGGCGGAGGAGGAGGAGGAGGAAGAGGAGGAGGAGGAGGAGGAGGAGGAAGAGAGCAGGAGGAGGAGGAGGAGAAGGAGGAGGTGGAGGAGAAGGAGGAGGAGGAGGAGGAGTGGAGGAGGAGGAGGCGGAGGCGGAGGAGGGGGAGGGGGAAGAGGAGGAGGAGGAGGAGGAGGAGGAGGAGAAGCAGGAGGAGGAGGAGGAGGAGGAGAAGGAGGAGGAGGAGCATGATGATGATGATGATGATGATGATGATGATGATGATGATGATGATGATGATGATGATGATGATGATGATGATGATGATGATGATGATGATGATGATGATGATGATGATGATGAGATGATGATGCTGATGGATGATGATGATGATGATGATGATGATGATGATGATGATGATGATGATGATGATGAGGGAGGAGGAGGAGGAGGAGGAGGAGGAGCAATAGGAGGAGGATGGGATGAGGATGAGGATGAGGATGAGGATGAGGATGAGGATGGGATGAGGATGAGGATGAGGTGGTGAGGATGAGGAGGAGGAGGAGGGGGAGGGGGAGGAGGAGGAGGAGAGGAGGAGGAGAACAGGAGGAGGAGGAGAAAAGGAGGAGGAGGAGGAGGAGAACAGGAGGAGGAGGAGTAGGAGGAGAAAAGGAGGAGGAGGAGGAGGAGGATGAGGAGGAGGAGGAGGAGGAGTTCAGACTTCTGGGGGTCCACGTCATGAGAAAATCATGACGTCGGAGGTCTGGACACGCTGCCCCCGCCTGCGCCGCCACCGCTCGCGCGGAGGTGACGTCCAAGGCATCGTGGTAGCAGTAGCTGCGTGCGGGCGCGACCCCCACCGAGTCTGCCACGTGTCCCAAGACCCCCCTAGGTCATGCCAAAAGTCATGACGGGGAGTTTTTTGCTATTTTCGGCCTCTTGGGGCCCTTCCTGGCCCTCGGGACCGTCAAAAAACGACTCAGGATGAAAATCCGGTCCCGGGGGTCGAGACCTCTGGGGGTCGACGTCATGAAAAAATCATGGCGTCGGGGGTCTGGGTCTGTAGCACAGCGGGAAGAGCTGTTTGGTGAGTGCATCGCTTTTGTTTCCTCGTTGCTCCTTGGGGGGAGCGTTCGGCGGCCGTCCAGCGCCACGTGCAGATGCACAGCAGCCGTGCCCAGACCGCCGCGAGCCCACGGCAGCAGCTCCGGCACCATGGTCTGAGCAGTCGTACTCGTTGTGCGCGCTGCTCGCGTTCAGGCTCAGCTTGCAGCGCCTGGGCCGGCTGTCCAGGTCCAACAGGGCCGCCTTGTTCGACTCCGCGTAGGAGTGACCCTTCGCCAGAGTGACCGTTGCAAAGGCCGCAATGGATCCCCCAATCATCGAGCACGATGCGATAGTACCGTCTTGCGCGCTCGTGTTTGGTCCCCCCGCGGCCTCCCCAAAACCGCGCACCCAAGGTCACTCTTACCCAGGGTCACTCTTGCGTGTAGCTGATATGTGCTCCGCTCCTCCGTCCTTCCCAACGAGTGCTCGCCGTTTCCCAGGGCGGCCGCCAGCCTGCCTCGGAACACCCTGTTCACCGCCTTGGAGGCAGCACGGCGGCGGAAACTGCCGAGGGCAAACGGCTGGACCTTGCCGCGCGCATCCCGGTCCCCTGCAAGACGCGCGCGCGCCCAGCGAGGCCTGCACGGCTCCGCGCTGGGCCCGGCCGAGCTGCCAGTTGAGGATCAGCTTGGCGAGGCTGTCCCAAACCTCCTCGCGTTGTGGCAGCCACGCCTATACTGCTTCCCTCGGGCGCCATCCTGGCCAGCGCCGTAAGGCCTCGGGGCGTGGACGCCTACGCGCGGCGCTGCTGCTCCAGGAAGCGGTCGGCGCTGACGCCCGCGGGCGGCGCGGCTGGGATGCCTGGCTGGGGGCCGCTCTGGGGAGCAACGTCGGGGGGCGGCAGCGGGCCTTCTCGTCGGGGGCGAGAGGCAACTTCCCATCCAGGAGCCACACCGCCTTCCGCAGGCCTCAGTCCGCCAGGGCCCCTTCGGTGGCCTTGACGTCCTTCGCCGGTCCCTGCGCTGCCGTGAGCGCCTCGCCAGCGCCGCTGCGCAAGGTAAGCTCCGCCTCCCGCCAGAGGATGTCCCACGACCCCTCCCAGGCAAGCCGGATCTGGGCGGCGACGAAGAGACGGCAGGTCTCCGCTGGCCCCGAGGAAGGCGGGAGTCCCCGGCTAGTCACGACGAGGCTAGGGCGCGGCTCAAATCCGGCACACAGTCAACCAGCACGATGAGGGTGCAAGGGCCCAGGGGCCCTCCTCCTCCTCCTCCTCCTTTTCCTGCCCCCCCTCCTCCTCCTGCTCCTCCTCCTCCCTCTCCCTCTCCTGCTCCTCCTCCTCCTCCTCCTCCTCCTCTTCTCCTCCTCCTTTTCTCCTCCTCCTCCTCCTCCTCCTCCTCCTCCTCCTCCTCCTCCTCTCCCGGTCGGCGTGCGCGCCGCTGTCTCTCCTCTGCGGCCCCTGGCCCCTCCCCGCCGCTGCCGCGACGCTGCGAAACCGAGGCGGCCGGAGCGCAGGAGCGCACCTTGGGAGGCCTCGCGCCTCGCCCCGCGCCGGCCGCCCCTGCCGGGCTTACGTCGGGCGTGCCCCTCTACAGGGGGCACGTTGAAGAACAGCCAAGAACTAGTCAGGGGGCGATGTTCGGAGCATGTCTTTGCTACATTGTTTTTGTTTGGGGGGGAACCGAATTTCACTCTTCGGCCAAAATCCGCCCGCAGGAGGACGCGCCCGACATGAGCCTGCCAGGCTGCAGGAGTACAGCACCCTCCTGAAGTCGGCGATGGCGCAGCGGAGTGCCTCCGGGACCATCGACATGGTGCCGTGCTGCTCGTGGAGGTTGTCCCAATCGGTGGCGAAATCCGAACCCTACCCTCGCCGATCAACGATGCAGGCAACTCTGTGGGCGGCGGCGGGGGTAGGGTTCGGAATTCGTCGAACACGTGGCGTAACCCGAACCCTACCTCCGCCTCTTCTCGATCCAGGAGAATCGATGGTTGGTGGGGGTAGGGTTCGGATGTCGCCACCTAGCCAACCGACGCCATCAGAACTCCATCCGCCGGAGCTCCCCGTGCGGCACCGCCGCATCATGCGGCACCGGCACTCCCTCAGGCCGCGCTGGCTGCGAGGCCGCCCCGGCCGGCTGCGCCGCAGCCCGCATGCCAACGGTCTCCGCGGCGTCGAGGGCCGCCTGCGCCTCCGCGCGCTGCTCCACGGGCAGCAGCGCCCGGCCTTCCAGGCCAGCCGGCGGCCCGCCTTGGGCTGGCAACGCAGCCGCTGCCCTCGCGGAGCGCGTGCCGGCACCGCTCTCCAAGGCAGGTGGCGCACACGGCCATGCTCCGTGACGTGGCTCGCTGGGAGCGCCCTTCACTGAGCGCGTTCCACTACTCGCAAAGTGCCTACTCGCAAACGTCCGAAAAGCACATGCCTGCTTTGATGTAATTCGTCGTAGATCCCCCGCGGCGGATCCAGGCCATTTGCGAGTAGATACTTTGCGAGTAGTGGAACGCGCTCGTCTAGCCCTCGCAGCCCCCAGCCGGCGCGCCGGCTGGGGCCTCGCTCCGCTGCCGCGGGCGCCTGCGCCCTGCAGCGGCTCCGCTGGCCGCGGCGCCTCGCCCAGCGGCCGCCGGCATCTCCGCGTCGCCCTCCATGGACCGAGGGTGCGGGGAGGAAGGCGAAGGGGGTGAGGAGGTGGGGGGCGGGTGAGGAGGTGGAGGGCGGGTGAGGAGGGAGGGCCAGGCCGGGCAACGGCTGCGCGCGGCTCGGTCCGCGCCCCCGTGTGCGCGAGGGGAGGCCCAGAGGTGGCCCTGCCAGCAGGCGCCCACCGACCGTGCCACCCTGTACACGCCAGAGCAGAGCTCCAGCCCGCAGACTCGCAAAGGGCGACCCTCCTCCTCCTGCTCCCCCCCTCTCCCTCGCCCTCCCGCTTCTGCTCCTCCTCCTCCTCCTCCTCCTCCTCCTCTTCCTCCTCCTCCTCCTCCTCCTCCTCTGTTCAACAGAGCACGACGCATACAAGCCACGAATGCTGTACACTAGCCATTTCGGCTTAAGCGTGCCCAGCGCTGCCAGCACTGCCCCGCCATGCCGTGGTGCACCAGGTTCCCCTTGGCGTTCGCTACCCTCGCGCACTTTTTGGGCCACAGCGCAGCACTCGACAATGGGTTGGGAATCACCCCTCCCCGCGGCTGGCGCTCCTGGAACGCTTTCCTGAACGCGGCCACGCAGGAGAAGCAGATTGCACAGATGGTGGCCCTCGCGGACGAAAGCAGGCTGGTGGATGGCAGTCCGACGTCCTTGAGGGACCTGGGCTACGACACCGTGGGGCTCGACGACTCCTGGCAGGACTGCGGGGCTGGGCTGAACCACTCGTTCCACAGCCCCGACGGGTGGCCGCTGGTCAACAAGGCCAAGTTCCCAGACTTGGAGCAGATGAACAGGTTCGCGAGGTCTCGCGGGCTCCACTCGGGCTGGTACCTCAACTCGTGCGATTGCTGCGAGCGCGGGCGGCTGGAGCCGAACTGGCCGCCGCAGATGCGCAGCGACGTGGCCGCGCTGACCTCCCTCGGCTTCGCTGGCGCGAAGCTCGACTCCTGCGGCCCGAGCCAGGACCTGACGGAGTGGGCGCGGCTGCTGAACGCCTCTGGCAGGCCAGTGCTCCTCGAGAACTGCTTCGACAACGCCAGCTTCCCCTTCGTGCCCTCCGGCGCCGACGACGGCGGGGAGGCGGTGGAGGAGGAGGCCTGCCCTATGAACCTCTTCCGCACAGGGGGCGACATGCGCGCGAGCTGGACCATGATGCTGGCCCGGCTCCAGGGCGCTGCGCCCTGGATGCGCCTGTCGCGGCCAGGGTGCTGGGCGTACCTGGACATGCTGGAGGTCGGGCACCCGCCGGGAGGCACCGGCGAGCGGCACGACTTCCAGAGCGCGCGGAGCTGGCGCTCCCACTTCGGCGCCTGGGCCGTGACCAGCTCGCCGCTGATCCTCTCCTTCGACCTGACCAACGCCACGCTGATGGATATGGCCTGGCCGTTCATCGCAAACCCCGAGGCGCTCCGCGTGAACTCGGACTGGGCCGGCGAGGCGGGGCGCCTCGTGGCGTCCGAGTACGACACCTCCGCGCCGACGCCGGCCTTCGCCCGGCCCTGCACCGCCTCGCTGGACACGCAGCGGTGGGTCCTGACGGCCGAGGCGCAGGTCAGGTCTGCCGCTGCTGGCGACGGGCGGTGCCTGTCCGTGCCCGTGGAGGGCGCCGGCCAGCTGGTTCTGGCGGACTGCTCCTCGTCCGCTGGCGCTGGCGGTGGGGGCAGGGCCCCCCAACCCGCCCCGCCTCCAGCCCCCCTTGGTTCTCCTTCCCCTCTCGACTCCCTTCCACCTCCCTCCTGCCGGGAGGGGTGGGGCACCCTCCTTCTGCCCTCCCGGAGGGACGTGGTCACTGACCGAGGCGGGCCAGCTGATGAGCACTCGGGCGTCTCCCTCAGGGGAGCCTGTGTGTGCGGAGGTGCAGAAGTACGGGAACCACAACGCAGCCCTGGCCGCAGCGCCGTGCGGCAATGCTTCTGCCCCGCCGAGGTCTCAGAGCTTCGCCTTCGACCCCTTGCGGCAGCGGCTCTCCGTCGACGTGCGCTTCGACCCCTCGAAGCAGCGGTCGCCAGGCATGCTGTTGTGCGTGGATATCGATATCGTCGCATCAGGTGCCGACGCTAGGCCTGGATCGCATCTCCTGTCCCAGGTCTGGGCGAAGCGGGTGTCTGGCGGCGCCGTCGCCGTCTTTATGCTGAACGCCGACACGGGGCAGGCCCGCGACATCACCGTCGACCTCTCGTCGCTGGGCGTCGCGCCGGGGAGCGTCATTCGCTCGATCTGGGACAGGCAAGACGTGGGCACCGTCGCGGCGCCTGTCGGGAACTACACGGCTGCGGCGGTGGCGCCGCACGACTCGGTGTTCGTGCTCTTCAAGCCGGACGGCCCCGCGGAGCACCTGGTCAGCATTTTCGCGCCGCTGGCAGGGCCAGCGCGCGGGGTGGGCTCCAACCGGACAGGCGTGCAGGGCGTTTACGTGTGACGCCGCCCAGTTGAGAGGATCGGCTACCTGCAAAATGACGACGTCTGTTTCTGAACCTTGGTATTTGCAAGGTTCCTTGAGCAGCAGACCTGCGAACGACATGTAGCACTGTGCAGTGTGATCTGCGTTACGCGCCGTGTCTTGCACCTCTTCTACCACCTGGACACTGCCTGCAGCACCTTTTGTGCATCGCGTGCATGTCTTCATGTGTTTGATAATTTCTCGCCCAGGTTTAGGACGTTTCTCAGCACCGAGTGCAGTGTTCTTCCGTCGCCACTTTGGCTCAAGGCCGTGGACCAGGGGAATCGAGGCGCGCCAATGCGCACGAGCCTCGCCTTCGATGATTTGCGTTGGGAGCGGCCAGCAAAACACCGAGCTGAGCTAGTGCACATCCGTGCGCTGGTCTGCGTCGAGGCGAGAGATGGCGCGAGCAGGGGCATTCCCACGGTCGCCGAGGAGGCATTGCTCACCTGCCAGACAGTGTTATGCATCCTGGGGTGCGCGCTGCTCTTCGTGTGCATCTTGCTTCCAACGAGCATGATGTGGATGCCATGGGAGATTCACATGGCGTACTTCCATAGTTTCGTTGCAGGAGTTTCCTTGATGTGGTCAAGCAACACTCGCTACATGTGTTTCGGGAACCAAACCCCGCTATGCGTACGTTGTGGGGCGTGGATGCTTGGCGCAGTGCTATACATGTGTTTGCTGATGTTATGTTCTGGTGAATCGGAACAGCTCGTGTGGCATATTGCTGTTGTGTATATGGGGTCGTTTCAGCTTGCGTGCGTGTTCTTTGAGTGCCCACAAGTAGTGGTGAAGCACCATTCCACGCAGGCTCAGTGCATGAAGACGGCCTGGGCGTTCATCGCTGGGACGGCTCTCGGGGCTTTGCCATGCATGGTGGTCGTTCCTATCTACATCACGGTCTGGCGCTGGAAGTCTACGTCGGATCATCCACTGGCGATGACTATTCTGGTGCTTCTGTGGGTATTGCTTCAAGTCCTGCTAAAGTGGAGCGGAGTTCATATTTGGCGAACCGCTTGCCAGATCGCCCCACATCTCGGGCACCTGTTCTGGGTACTGTATGTTGAGCTCGTGCTTGGTCTCCTGGGAATTGGCATCTTTATGCGCACGATGGGATCTGCTCTTGCATATTCGCTTTCCACCGCGACGGTAATGGCCGCGATCACGATTCGTGGCCTCCACGCAGGGAGGTATGCACCAGGCACGGCCGCACTCATGGAGCAGCGAGTGGTCTTGTTTCTGGAAATATATGTTTCGCTGGCTTCCAAGATGAGTGTGTTTGTCGTATATGTAGTGCATGCATCCACGGAGGTTGCGTTTGGGAGTACGCTTGCTCTTAGAGAACGTGCAGTGCGCTCGACGATGTCAGGTGGAAGTCGCCCTGTGCCTAACCCTTTCCCTGTGATCCTCTTCAAGCGTTCGAGAACCAGCGGTTCTTTTGACATAGTGATAGGCTTAACTTGTTGTGCAATCCCAGCAGTATTCAGTATGATTACATGGCGCTTGTTGCCAATGGTTTGGAAATGCGAACGCACCTCTCAGCGAAACCGGATCTCTCCTGAGCTTGTAGGCGCCCAGTCGTGCCGAACCATTTGCACCACAACCTCTTCACATCACAGCGATGACGTCAAAACCTCGGCCAGTTCGAATCCATCGAGCGGAAACCATGACAGAGCTGATCCCAGCTGCGGTGTAGACGAGGCTCCGAGGAGGTCGGACACCAGCTCTGGCTGGCTCCCTGCAGACTCGGGCAGCACTGTGGCTTCCAGTCAGATCCGCTTGCTGCGGGCTTTTGCCAGTGACAATTTGTATAACTTGGTGAGCTTCTGGTGTTTCACTATGTGCTTGGTGATACTGATGATGAGCACAGTAGACACACTGCCAGATTTTGCCTGATTCGCGACTGGGAGCTGGAGCGTAGTCTACAAAGCCGGCCTCTGTGGCCGAGGTGCTAACGCTAGAGCGGCTTCTGCAGGATAATCACAGCATGTTCACTTCAGACTGGGGCGCGTCCTCCATGCATCGTCGGAAAGATCTCAATCGGCGGCACCCCAGCATACTAATACTATGTGTGCGTCACCCCCCCAGGGGCGACCGACGCGCGCACCGAGAAATCTGATTGTATCTGCGTCGTGGCGGGCGCGTTCTGCCCACACCGCTCGGGAACATATGGTACTAGTATGTCTTTGTGCGTCCCATCAATATTGTCCATGGATTGCGTCGCCTGCGCCTCCTTTTCTCCTGTTCCTCTCCCGGGGCGGGTCATTCCAGCAGGTTCTCGACCGAGCCCCGGCCCTGGACCGATCCCGGCTTCTGCCCTGTAAGTGCCCTGTTTGCGCTCGAGCTCGTACGTGGCCAGCGCAGGCTTGATTCCCCCTTCCCCTCATGTGCTGTTCTACTTTCGGCGTCACCCCGACATACTCATACAGTGAACGGCTTGAATAAGGAACACTTCATTTTCAAAAGGGGCTCGGTCGTTCCTTAGGCTTGCGTGCGTCATTGATCGTTCCTTATGCGTCATTCATGATTTATCGCTCCTGATGAGTTTCATTCCTGGAAAAAGAGGGGCTTCGCTCCTTATTTATCGTTCCTTAGGTCAGGCCGACGACTCTACTATATGTGCGTCGCCCCCCCAGGGGCGACGCTCGCGCCGAGAACTCTTATAGTATATGCGTCGTGGCGGGCGCTTTCTGGCCACACCGCTCGGGAAACGTTATACTACAAGATGGGTATACTTTATTTTCGGGTCGAACGAACGCCTCCAAGGAGGACATACAGTACTAGTATGTCCTTGTGCCTCCCATACTTGTCGCCGCCGCGGCCCCACCGCCTCGCCTCTCCTCAGGGCCGTCCCGCGGGACGAGCAGGCGCAGTGTCCAGGGTCTCCAGTGCTGGCGTGGCCGCTGCCGCGCGCGCGCTGGCCTTGGAGCAGGACGCAGAGTACTACGGACACCCACGCTGACAGATCTCGAAGAAGAAAACACCACATAAACATAAACTGTTTGGGTTCCGCGCGGATTTCTTGGATCTGCGCTGGGCCCCCTCGGCGGCGCCTCCGGCGCCGCCCCTGGCGCGCTCCGCGCGCAGGGGAGGGGGTCCGGCGCAGATCCAAGAAATCAGCGTGAGCCTCCGACAGTTTATGTTTAGGTTTTTTTTTGTTTAAGATAATGTTAGGGTAAGTTGCGAATCTTAGCAAAAAGCGCACCGATTGTGGTATTATTGGGTGTTCTGTCTATCCTTGCGTTCGTCTTCTTTATGTGAGAACAGATGTAGGAGTATCGATGCTTCGCCAACGCCGCTGGTCCCTCTGACGGATGGCTGGCTGTGTGTGTGTGGGGCCGATGTGTGCATGAAGGAGCTGGCCGTTGGAGCAATCAGTGCTTGGCAGGCGGGTTGATTGATGTGTGGAGTGACCTGTTCTGCTCCTCTGATTGACCTGTTGGTGTTCGTTCACGCCCGTGTAAGCCATATGGACACTATTACAGCTGGTTCCCATATCCCGAGTATGGGTTCTTGTGATTCCCACCTTGCAGCTTAAGTATAGGGTTACTGTTGTTAGTGGTATGTCTCAAATTCCTCACTCACGCCTGCTTTCTCTCAATCTCTCATGACACTCAGATCGCTTATGTTTAGACTCACCCACGCTCAGAAACACTCACACTCGACTGATCACGCTCCGACCACTCATACTCAGGCACAATATCACGCATATGCTCTCACACTCGGACTCACTGACACCCAGACACACTCATACTCAGACTCACTCGCACTCAGACTCACTCTATCGCGATGTAGCATGCGTGGCAGTATAGTCTGGAGTAGCCGCCAGGGTGTAGGACATCTGCCCAGTCGCGCCCTCACGGTGTGGATGTCGCAGGCGGTTTGCCTGCTTGGTTGGTCAGATCTTTCTCTTTTCAGAGCACGCCTGTCCAGAGGGCAGGGCCTTGTGGCGAGGAATCCACCTGTCCCTGGGGGGGGGGGGGCTCCTGTGGCGAGGAATCCGCTTGTCCTGGGGAGGGTCCTGTTCTGAGGGATCCGCCTGTCCTGGAGGAGGCCCTGTGGCGAGGAATCCACTTGCCACTGATGCTCAGACGCACTTTCACGCAGACCCACTTGCTATATGCTCATCGCGATGTAGCACTAAGTCGGGAAAGCGCGCCAGTGGATGGCCCTGAATACACAAAAGGGGGGGGGGTGCTCGCAGAACCCCCCCCCTCCCTCCTTTCAAAGGAGGGGTGAGATTTTCGACCTACCTCCCCCCCCCCCTCCCCCCCTTAAGGGGGGGGGTCCGCCCCCCCTCTTTCCCTCCATTAAAGAGGGGGGGGGTCCGGAGCACCCCCGACTCCCCCCCTTGGCGCTGGAATGGGGGGGGGTTCGACCCCCCCCACAATCCCCCCCTTTGCGCCGAACAGGGGGCTGGGGAGGGGTCTTCTCGGGTAGTGAGTAGGGACTAGAGTGTTTTTGAGTAGCGATTGGTGAGTAGTGGGTATTTGATAGTGAGTACTGCGCAGTGAGTCGTGAGTGATGAGTAGTGAGTAGTGGGTAGTGGGTAGTGGGGTAGCGAGTAGGGACTAACGAGTAGGGAGAAGTGAGTAGCGAGTAGGGCGTTGTGAGTAGTGAGTAGTGAGGAGGGAGTAGTCCGGAGTCACCTAGTGAGTAGGGAGTAGTGCGTAGCGAGTAGTGGGTAGTGCGTAGTAGTTAGTTGTGAGTAGTGAGTAGTGAGTTGGGAGTAGTGAGTAGGGAGAAGGTCGTAGTGAGTAGTGAGTAGTGGAAACTTAGTGAGTAGTGAGTAGTGGGTAGTGAATAGTGCGTATCGGGTAGCGAGTAGGGCGTAGGGAGGAGCGAGTAGTGAGTAGTGAGTAGTGAGTACTGTGTAGGGAGTAGCGAGTAGCGAGTAGTGGATAGTGAGTAGTGGTATGTGGGCAGTGAGTGGTGAGTAGTGAAGTGTGAGTAGTGAGTAATGGAAGTGGCTAGTGGGTAATAAGTAGTGGTTTGTGTTTGGTGAGTAGTGGGTAGTGAGTTGTGTTTAGTCAGTAATGAGTATTGAGTAGTGGGTAGTGAGTAGGGAGTAATTTGTAGTGAGTAGTGAGTAGGGAGTATGGAGTAGTGAGTAGTGCGTCGTGGGTAGTGAGTCGTGGGTAGCGAGTAGTGTGTCGTGAGTAGTGAGTAGTGAGAAGTGAGTAGTGAGTAGCTAGTAGTGAATTGAGGGTAATGAGTAGTGCGTAATGAGTAGTGAGTCCTGTTTGGGGCTAGGGTTTGGGTTTGGGGTTAGGGGTTCGGGTAAGGGTGATGATTAGTGTTAGGGGTGGTAGGGGTCGGGTTCCGGAGACCGGGGGCGCCGTGGCGAAAGGGGGGGGGGGGCTTGAATTTGGCGGCCAAGGGGGGAGAGCGGGGGGGGGGGGTTCGGACCCCCCCCTCTGTTTTGAAGGGGGGGGGGGGAGGGTTCCCGGCGACGGACCGGGAAAGTGGAGGGGGGGTTCCCCGACGACGAATCGGGAAAGGAGGGGAGGGGGGGTTTCCCCGACGACGGATCGGGGAAAAGGGGGGTGGGGGGGTCCCCCCCCCCCCCTCTGGGTCATCCAGCGGCGCGCCCTCCAAAGTCGGGCATGTCCTACCACATAGCGAATATATAAAATCAGTCTAAAAAGAGAGTATTGTGGCAATTTTCATGCTGTGTTCAAAATACATCCAAAATAGTCTGGACGCCGTTTTTTTCGATACTGCCTAGGCGAACGTACGATGCACGCGGTTGGAAAACATGCTACGCCGCGTGGCGCCACCAGTATTTGTTTCGCCGCACTTGGTGGCGGCTGCGCGGGTGGCCTTTCTGGGCCGACTTGGGGCCCTCCTGGGATGCTCCAGGGCCGTCTTAGAGGCCATTTTGGGCGTCTTGGAGGCCTCTTGGGTCGTCTTTGTGCCCTCTTGGAGCCGTCTCGGGGGCCTCTTGGGCAGTCCTGAGGCCATCTTGGAGGCCTCTTGGGCGCTGTGGAGGCGATTTGGGGGGCCTCTTGGGCTGTCTTGGGTCGTCGGAAAGCCGACAGGGAGCGAATATGGAAATCTTTCAAAAACCTAAGACAAATCAATGCTTTTGGCCTCTTCGGGCCCTGCTGGAGGACCTCTTGGAGGCCTCTTGGGTCGTGTTGGGCCGTCTTGGGGGCTTCTTGGGCGAACTTGGAGGTATCTTGGACTCTCTTGGGCCGTCTTGGAGGCCGTCTTGGCCTCTCTTGGGCCGTCTTGGAGGCCATCTTGGGCCAACGTGGCCATCTTGGAGGCCATCTTGAGCCATCTTGGAGGATTTTTTCTGGATTGAGCGCCTTTCCGGGTGGCCGGCGGGACGGGCCGAAGCTTCAGGGAGAGTTCTTTTGGACAAAGAACCAAAAGCAAAAGCCATATCGTTCGGCACGCCAGGCACCCCTGCGATGAATCGACAGGGGGCGGCGGATTGCTTGGGGCATGACGGGCGTTATGGCCCCCGCTCCCCCCCCCATGACGTAAGGCTCGCCCCCCAGTGCGCTCGGGCAGTGCCGCCGTGGGATCCGCGCAGGTGTCCGCGTAGAAATCCGCATAGGAGTCTGGTCCGCAGTCATCGTCGTCGTCGTCGTCGTCGTCGCTCGTGGCTTGTCGCTCGTCGCTCATAGTCGTCGTGCGCACGGACGCGGCTGAAGCCTGTTTTTTATTCCAGGCCGATGGCGGCAATCATCCAGGGCGGGGGTGGAAAGGGTCGATGACGTCACGTTTCGCGCCGGCGGCGTCTGGGAATGCCTAGGAATGACGGAGGGCGGGTAGCGCCAGCATGTAGGTGGCGATTTGCACCACAACGCCAGTGTACACCACAGTGCCTGCGTGCACCACAGCGCCTGTGTACACATACCGCCTCTGTACACCACAGCAGCCGCGTGCAACACAGCGTCAGTTTGTGCCACCGTGCCTGCGGGCACAACAGCTCTTGTGCACACCACAGCGCTTGCTTACACCACATCAGCCGTGCGCAGCACAGCACCAGTGTATACCACAATGCCTGCGTGCATTGCAGTGCCTGTGTACACCACGGCGCCTGTGTGCACCACAGCAACCGTGTGCAACACAGCACCATTGTCGTATATACATTTATATAATGTTGGAACGAATCCTTATGACAAAATGGAGCGCTTGTGGATTCCACAGAAAACAATTGAAACTAATCCTTGTGGACAACGGAGCGCCGCTGGATTCTACGAGTCCTCCCGGGTCCACCCGCATCACCCTAACTCCTCCCATCTGCGTCCAGGAGGCTCCAGCTAAATTGGCCGTCCGAGAACCAAGTGGACCGATGAAATAGACCATTCTGCGGTACGCGCTGAGATGCGCATGTGCGCTGTAGCGCCAACCCGCACGACAAGGGGTAAGGAGGAGGAGGAGGAGGAGGAGGAGGAGGAGGTGGTGAAGGTGGAGGAGGAGGGGGGAGGGAAGAACGTCGCATTCGATTATCAGCACTTTCCTGGCATGGCGTCTAGTTGTCCGCAGCAGATCCTCACGTAAATGCTCCTTCTACCTGTCCTATGCACGCAGGCATTGTGGTGTATACCAGCGCTGCGTTGCACGCGGATGCTGTGGTGTATACACGCGCTGTGGCGTGCACAGGCGCTGCGGTGCACGCAAGCATCGTGGTGTACATAGGCGGTGTGTTGCGCATGGTAGCTGCGGTGTGCACATGTACACTGGCGCTGTAGTGCACACAAGCATTGTGGTGTACACATGCGCTGCGTTGCACACGGTTGTTGCGGTGTACGCAGGCGCTATGGTTTGCACGCGCGCTGTGGTGCATGCGAGCGTTGTGGTGTACACAGGCGCGGTGGGGCATATCGCCACCTACATGCTGCTCGCGTCGTCGTCGTCGTCGTCGTCGTCGTCGTCGTCGTCGCTCGTCGCTCGTCGCTCGTCGCGTCGCGCGCGCGGGCGCGGCTGCGGTGCCGGAGCCACACGGCGGGGAGGGGCGTTGCGTCATACCCCCCCCTCGCCTCCCCTCCCCCCCCATGACGCCCGTCATCGCCGATCATAAAGAAACGCGCCCTTCGTGGCCCGATAGGGAGCTCCAGCGAATGTCCTTGTGGGTGCGGTCGCACGCGGCCCCGCCCCATTCCCGCGGACTTCTCACACGCTTCGTGGCCCCATGGGGAGCTCTAGCGAAGGCCCCAGTGGCGGCCCCGCCTCACTTCGGCGCGCGAAGGCCCCAGTGGCTGCGGTCGCATGCGGCCCCACCCCATTCCGGCGGACTTCTCAAACGCTTCGTGGCCCCATGGTGAGATCTAGCGAAGGCCCCAGTGGCTGCGGTCACATGCTGCCCTGGCCCCATGGGGAGCTCCAGGGAAGGCCCCAGTGGCTGCGGTCGCATGCGGCTCCGCCCCATGTCGGCGCACCTCTCACGTTTCGTGGCCCCTGTCAGGAACTCCACCGACGGCCCCAGTGGTGCGTCCGCATGGTGTCGTCTCGCCCATGTCGGTTGGCCCCGCTCGGTTGAGTGTGGCCTTGTGTTCTTCGGCGAAGCGTCCAGGAGTATTGCCAATCCCTCAGTCTGTTTATGCGCATTGGGCGGTCCTGCAAATAGCCGCTACGCGTCAACAGAGGGTTGGGTCCTTCGCCAGGGTAAGCGTCTCTGTTACACTTTTCTGAGTCCTCGCTGCTTTTGCTGCTTCTTCTCCTCCTCATCCGCCGTCTCGTCTAAATCCCCCAGCGCCTCCGCGCCCACCAGAGGAGGAGGAGGAGGAGGAGGAGGAAAGGGAGGAGGAGGAGGAGGAGGAGGAGGAGAGGAAGGAGGAGGAGGAGGAGCAGGAGGAGGAGGAGGAGGAGGAGGAGGAGGAGGAGGAGGAGGGAGAGGAAGAGGAGGAGTACTCCGCCGCCTCCTGCCCCCCCTCGCCCGCCTCCTCACCAGCCACTTTGTGTCGAGAGGCGCCAGGTGCTCTTACGATAAAGTCGGGCACGTCCCTCTACAGGAGTATTATTTTAGAATCAGCAACAATAGTCAGGGGACGATTTCCCGAATATGCTTTCAACCTTTCAAATTATATTTTGATGTTTTGTTGATTCTGGTATGTTCCATTTTCCGTGCAAAATCCACCTGTAGGAGGACATGCCCGATCTAAACTTACGAGCTACCATACAGCCGTATCGCTCGCGCGATCAGTTCCCGCGCACTGCCCAGCGATGAGCAAGTTGAAGCTCACCGGCGAGAAGGTCTGCAACAGCGACCCCAAGCATCCAGAGGTCCCTTTGCACGATCTGGGGTGCAAGGTGTGCATCTGCGGTGGTGGTGGCTTCATCGGCTCGTGGCTCGGAAAGGCATTGAAGGAGCTCGGCTACCACGTGATCGTGGCCGACTGGAAGCATAACGAGTACTTCAAGCAGGAGGAGTATTGCCACGAATTCAGATTGCTGGACCTGCGTAAGTTGGAGAACTGCATCGAGGCCACTAAGGGTTGCACCCACGTCTATGCGCTTGCCGCGGACATGGGCGGCATGGGCTTCATCGAATCCAACCAGTCCGTGCTGCTATACAACAACACGATGGTAAGCTTCAACTGCCTGGAGTCGGCCCGTGTCAATGGAGCAAAGCGTTTCTTCTACTCATCCACCGCTTGCGTATACAACGAGGATAGGCAACTTGACGTTACGGATCCGAAATTGAAGGAGGAGTACGCGTGGCCTGCCAAGCCTCAGGACTCATACGGGCTCGAGAAGCTGTACGCCGAGGAGATGGCTCTGACGTACGGCAAGGACTTTGGTATCGCATCGCGCATCGCCAGGTTCCACAATATCTACGGCCCGAACGGCACGTGGCAGGGCGGCCGAGAGAAGGCGCCGGCCGCCTTCTGCAGAAAGGCGATCACGAGCACAGTCGAGTTCGAGATGTGGGGTGACGGCATCCAGACGAGGAGCTTCGTCTTCGTGGAGGACTGCGTGGAGGGAGTGATCCGGATCATGATGTCCGACTGCGACGTTCCGCTGAACCTTGGTACCGAGGAGATGATCAGCATGAACGACTTCGCGAAGCTCGTCATGTCCTTCGAGAGCAAGGACCTGCCCATCAAGCACATCCCCGGGCCGCAGGGCGTCCGCGGAAGGAACTCGGACAACACGCTGATCAGGGAGAAGATCGGCTGGGAGGCGTCGACCCCCCTGGCGGTGGGCATCAAGACTACGTACTTCTGGATCAAGGATCGGAGAACAAGCAACAGCATAAACAGAAACGACTGAAGCTCTGTGGACGACGACCAATGGAGAGGAAGCATGTTGCCAAATAATTCCCAGATGTCAGAGACATGTTAGAAATATGTCTTCAACATGTAAATAATGTCCAACTTTATAGCATGTTCATACCTGTTCAACATATTAGCAATCCAATGATAGGATTACAACCGAAGCTCCGCACTGATTTCTTGGATCTGGGCTGGGACACCCCTCCCTGGCGCGCGGAGCGCGCCAGGGGGGCGCCAGGGGCGCCGCCAGGGAACTCCCGCGCCGATCCAAGAGATCCGCGCGGGTCTCCTGAGGTTCATGCTTGTTTGTGTCGTCTTGTGTCCTTCTAGAGGAGCAGGTGGAAAAGATGAAGGCGGCTGGCAAAGACACGGGCACCCTCAGCCAGTCCAAGATCGTGGTGCAGGACACCGCCGTGCTCGACGGCGTGCTGGAGAAGGGCTTCGTCAGGGCCGCCGACGGCACCGAGAAGACCACGCTGGACGCCTCCGTGTGCTGCAACAACTCGAAGCTCGAGAGGTAGATCGTGTGACGGCCAACGCCTAGCGTGCGACGCGGCGAGTCGGCCGTGGCGCTTGACGCGGCGAGGAGAAGGAGGAGGAGGAGGAGGAGGAGGAGGAGGAGGAGGGGCATGAGCAGGAGCAGGAGCAGGAGGAGGAGCAGGTGGAAGTTGTGATGGTGGTGGTGGTGTTGGTGGGGTCCAGTTGCCTCGTGGTCTATTGTTCGGATCCGCGCGGAGGAACACCCAGTATGACCATGGGTATGATGATGATGAGGAGGAGACCTCGGCGCATCCATGCGCCAAGTTGACCACGGCAATCCCAGCAACAGCCGGCTGCAGCTCTTGATGCTGCAGTGCCCGCGGTGCGGGGGACGCCGTTGATTGAAGCCAGGCTGCACGACGCGGTTCCTCGAAAGGATGCAGTGGTTCGAGGCCTGAGTCTATCAGATCTTGGGCGGTAGAGTCTGAGCTGTCGATGTTTCGAAGAAGAACAAGAACCACATAGAGATAAACTCTTGGCGCTCCGTGCGGATTTCTTGGAACCGCGCCTGGGCCCCCCGGCGGCGCCTCCGGCGCCGTCCCTGGCGCGCTGGTCCAGCGCGAATCCAAGAAGTCCACGCGGAGAGCCAAAAGTTTATGTTTATGTTTGTTTTCTCCTCTTCGAATGCTCGCAGTAGGAGGGCCTGTCAGGGTATTGATATTTTCCAGCGCGGTTGTGTTCAGCCGCTCGCGTCCCTGGCACAGTGCGCAGGTTGGTCTTTTGCAGTGCCACGCGTTCGTGCATCGCCAGAGCAATTGCCTCCTCCCTCCCCACCCCCTCGTCACGTTCTTCCCCCCCCTCCTCTTACGCGTTTCTCTCCTGCCACTTCCCATCCCTCTCCTCGGCGTTACCTTCTTCTCCTTTGCGCCCCTCCTTCCGTTGCAATCGGTCGTGCCGATTGCGCCAGGTGCACATCGTAGCCTGCTGGCCAGGTGCTGCGAAGCGACACTCACGGTGTTCTTCGGCGGCGAGCCCGGGGGTAAGTGACAAGGGGCGGGCCTTTTCAGAAGGCCCTGAAGTCCCATGGCCTCATGGGAAGTTCCAAGCCTTCCCCGAGGACACAGAACGTTTTTTCAGAGGGCGCAACGGCTTCTGAGAAGCCCCGCCGCTTCCTGAGGAGGCCTTCTCCTTATCACTTCCCCCCCCGGCTCGCCGCCGATTCCTAGCAGGAGCACAGAATCCCATGCGCAGTCCTTGCTGCTCGGAAGTGGCTTCCTAACGGTTGCCGGAGTAGTCGCCAAAATGGTAGCCCCAATCCGGTATTTTGGGCCAGGAGGTTTGTCGCCCAGAGTGAGGCGCAACAGTTTGGTAACACTAATGGTTGCCCGAATTGTTCCACCGACCTTTCTACAAAGCAGCTGGGTTACCAAGGCATGTTTTTCCCCCACCAACCTGTGGTGTTGGGTCCTCGTTTTGAAGAAACAGCGCCCCGCATCACCTCCTCCTCACTCCTCCCCCTCCCTCCTCACATCCCTTGCCTCTCCTCTCCGCATGCAGATCCCAATTGGGGACACCCCTCACGAGGTTCGTGTCCTCACAGGGAGCTCCACCGAAGGCCCCAGCGGCAGGGTCCGCATGCGGGGACCGCCACCCATTTCTGGCACAGCCCTCATGAGGATCGTGGTTCCACAGGGAGCTCCACCGAAGGCCCCAGCGGCCAGACCCGCATGCGGAGACCGCCACCCATTTTGGCACACCCCTCATGAGGATCGTGGTTCCACAGGGAGCTCCACCGAAGGCCCCAGCGGCAGGGTCCGCATGCGGGGACCGCCACCCATTTTGGCACACCCCTCACGAAGATAGTGGCCCCACCGGGAGCTCAACCGAAGGCCCCAGCGGCAGGGTCCGCATGCGGGGACCGCCACCCATTTCTGGCACACCCCTCACGAAGATCGTGGCCCCACAGGGAGCTCCACCGAAGGCCCCAGCGGCAGGGTCCGCATGCGGGGACCGCCACCCATATGGGGACACCCCTCGCGAAGATCGTGGCCCCACAGGGAGCTCCACCGAAGGCGCCAGCGGCAGGGTCCCCATGCGGGGACCGCCACCCATTTTGGCACACACTTCACGAGGATCGCGGCCCCACAGGGACCGAAGGCCCGAGCGGCAAGACCCGCATGCGGGGACCGCCACTCATTTTGGCACATCCCTCACGAGGATCGTGGTCCCACAGGGAGCTCCACCGAAGGCGCCAGCGGCAGGGTCTGCATGTGGGGACCGCCACCCATGTTGGCACACCCTTCACGAGGATCGTGGCCCCACAGGGAGCTCCACCCAAGGCACCAGCGGCAGGGTCCGCATGCGGGGACCGCCACCCATTTGGGCACACCCCTCACGAGGATGGGGGGCCACAGGGAGCTCCACCGAAGGCCCCAGCAGCAGGGTCTGCATGCGGGGACCACCACCCATTTGAGCACACCCCTCACGAAGATCGTGGCCTCACAGGGAGCTCCACCGAAGGCCTCAGTGACAACGGCTGCATGCGGGGACCGCCACCCATTTTGGCACACCCCTCACAAGGATCGTGGCCCCACAGGGACCGAAGGCCACAGCGGTCGGGTCCGCATGCGGGGACCGCCGCCCATTTTGATATGCCCCTCACGAGGATCGTGGCCCCACAGGGAGTTGATGCGGGGACCGCCACCCATTTTGGCACACCCCTCATAAGGATCGTGGCCTCACAGGGAGCTCCACCGAAGGACTCAGCGCCAGGGTCCGCATGCGGAGACCGCCACCCATTTTGGCACCCTTCACGAGGATGGGGGCCCACAGGGAGCTCCACCGAAGGCCCCAGCGGCAGGGTCCGCATGCGGGGACCGCCACCCATTTTGGCACACCCCTCAAGAAGATCGTGGCCCCACGGGGAGCTCCACCCCAGGCCCCAGCGGCAGGGTCCGCATGCGGGGGCCGCCACCCATTCAGGCACACCCCTCACGAGGATCGTGGCCCCACAGGGAGCTCCACCGAAGGCGCCAGCGGCAGGGTCTGCATGTGGGGACCGCCACCCATTCAGGCACACCCCTCACGAGGATCGTGGCCCCACAGGGAGCTCCATCGAAGGCCCCAGCTGCAGGTTTTGCATGCGGGGACCGCCACCCATTTTGGCACACCCCTCACACGGTTCGTGGCCCCATAGGGAGTTTCACCGAAGGCCCCAGTGGCACAGGCCGCATGCGCCCGACGCCCATTTTGGCACACCCCTCACACGGTTCCGGAATGCTTGTGAATGTTTAGCTGTCTGTCCGGTCTAAGCGTCCGAGCGATGAGCCTAGCACTGGACGTCCTACGCAGGCAAGGCAGGTACAGTGCATGTCGCTGCACACCATGTGGAAGGTGCGCAGGTGATGTTGGGCTCTGTCACTCGTTCGTCACAATGCAGAAATAACTGAAAGGTCGCCCGCTGAGTGGCGCTCGGGAGACCATTATTGTAGGGTAGATCAGCATAGTCTGGCGTGGTATCTGTGGCATAACTCTGGTAACCAGCACAGATGGGAGGTAGTGGGCCTCAATATTGAGAACATGTGGAAGCATTTCCCTGGCCGGGTTATTTGGTGTGCCGACCTTGTGGTTGGGCTTGTGCGGCGGCCAACCGGCATCATGTAAGACCGCGGTGGGCAGCGATCAGCTCGTTACTCAATTGCTTTCGCAGCTCGGTTTTTCGTTGGCTCGGCATGGGCCCGACGGTCATGCTGCTCGCACTGAGTTCCACCCAGCACATTCGAGCCCATTCATCCGCCCTCTCGGGGATTCCAGGCAAAGCGGGGATACCATGGCGGCGTTTACCCTGAATGTGGTAATGGGCAGACATTCTGGCGGCTATTCTGGTGGCCAGTTTGGTTTGTCCCCTATTTGAGCGTCCGTCTGGGCGGACAGCAGTTTATGGGAAACGATCTCATTGACCATACAGGTGACCATTTCGGCAAGCCACCTGCTGTGCGCAATTTGATCTTCACAGTGCGAAGCGGCGGACATTTTGTGGTGCGAGCCAGCGCGAACAGTATTTGATGGAGGAGCAGCGGCCTGAAGCAATGCGTCGCCTAGGCAACGCTTCATGACAAACAAATGCGGCCCGACGAATCATACGTTTGTCTAAGAGCGGTTGTTCGAGCATTCCAGGAAGAGTGACGACGAATCGTACATTGCCTCGGCGCTCTGTCAGATCTTCCAGTGCTCAATATCTGCTGGCGGGCGAGAGAAGTGGGAGGCGGCGCAGAGCTGGCTTGTCACTGGCCAGGGCTGCGGCGAGGCCGAGTGAGTTATTCGTCTCGCGAGGCGGAGCCAATGGCTCGAAGAGTGAAGCAGAGTCTCCTCCTTCGTGCTCGTCCTCGTTGGCCTCATCCATACCTCACCTCATTTTCCTCCCGCTCCCACTCTCACCCACCTGCGTGCTTCTGCGCGGCTCTGATGTCGGTCGCGCTCGCCTGCCGACATTCCCTTGTTCTCAGTAGAGATGTATGTCGCTCCTTCTGCTGATGCTCCTCCTCCTCCTCCTCCTCCTCCTCCTCCTCCTCCTCTGCCTTGTCTTTCATCCTGACGTTTCTTGCTATTCGTCGTTTGCTTCTCCTCCTCTGCTGTCATCCTCCTCTTCCTCCTCCTCCTCCTCCTCCTCATCCCCCCCCCTTCTCCATCTCCCCCCTCCTGATCCCGACCCCCCTTCCCCGCCTTTTCCGATCTTTCCTCCCCCTTCCCTCCGAAGTCTCCCCCTCCCCCTCTCTTCTCTCCCGTTTCCCCTCCATCTTCCTCATCCTGTTCCGCCTCCCCACCTCGCATCTACTTCACCTTCCCCTTCATCTGCCCCTCCCGCTCCCTCTTCTCTCCGTGTTCGTCCTCTGTTTGTTCATGCTTGTGTTCGCTATCTTTTCCGATTCCTATTCTGCCTTCCTCTCCTGCCTTGCCTCTTTCTCCTTCCCCATCCTCCCGCACACCCTCCTCCCCCCTCCTTTTTATGTCTTCGTCTCCTCCTCCTTCCCCTTCCTCCATGACGCCCCCTCCTACTGTTCCTCCTCCCTCGTTCCTCCCTGTCCTCCCCCTTCTCCTCCTCCTCCTCCTCCTAATTCTCACCGGCATAGTCACCATGCAGTTGTCAAGAAGCCCACGCTGCAGAGGACACTCATCATTTTCCTGCGCGTCAGCATTTATCATATCACATGTGGCATCACTCTCTCCAAGCGCCTCCACGCATGGGGGCTCCATGCTTCGGTGTCTGGACGGTGTGCGAGCTGTGGGAGGAGTGTCATTCGACCATGAAGAAACTCAAGCTCGCTTGGCAGCGGTCATCCTGAGGACCCTGGCTGGCGGATGGACAACGAGCCGTCGAACGCATCTCCGCGGGGAAGTCGACTGCCTGTTTGGTTGTCCGCAGTCTGACTATGTATCATTACCTCACCTGTCCCGTGCTGCGCCCCCGCCTTGGCCTCCCCTCCATTCCGCTCACCTGTCTCGGCATCGGGGCCGACAACGATTGCAATTGTGCGAGCTGCTCGTTCTCGCGTGCTGGCGCGTTGCGACTGACCGTGCTCGCTTTCCAGACGTACCATACGGCGAACGCTGCAGTGGCCCATGGGGACCAGCTGACGCCTGACCAGCAGCGAGCCGCCGTTGCCGCAGCCCTGCACGCCACTGACAAATCAGCAGCCGACTGTGCTGCGAACTGGCCTGCCTTAACTACGGTCGATCATAATCATAAGCACCATCATCAGCAGCATCATCATCATCATCATCATCATCATCATCATCATCATCAACAGCACTATCATCATCAGC